ATTAACACAGCAATACAAGATAATAAATGTTAATCACTGGAATCGGTAATAACTCAATGAAAACGAAGTAGTATTAAAAATTAACTGTGGTTAGTAATTCAAAATGATGTGATGGATAAAATAAAGCTTAATATTCAGGTCTTAGTTTTAATGTTGATGATTTACATCACGAATATCGTTCAATTGTTTATAACGTCTCAACCATGTGCATTTTCTAGTGAATACATTAATTATAGATTCGTTATTTTGCTACATAAAGGACCAGTTCATCTGGCCACTAGTCAAAGCGTTAATCTTAGTTGGTTTGTGACATTTGATTGGTATTTTAATATCATCAACTGTTATTCCTCTGTCATATTGTGTCATTGCCTTCTGTTTATGGATCAGCATCCCACACATTCATCTTAAATTACTTCAAACTATCTAACATTCATCACTTCATGACTGATGACAAATGTACTGAATCAAAGAAGATTATATAAAAACATGTTTTAAGATTAAGTGCCTAGAACTACAAAGTATTATTACTCGTGAGAACTTGTGTACATACTAAAATGAAAGTTGACTTCATTATTCTACTGCATTCAACTTAAGTGCATCCAGGGATTAAGTAGCAATACTTAAAAGAACTAAAACAGGAATAATTTGTACAGCTTAGATTTAAAATTCTTAATTCTAAAGGTTCACTAAAACATTATGATGGCAAAAAAATGAACTAAAAACTATGAAATATATGTATATTTGTCTCTCATTCAAATTTTCATAAACCTTGCAAGTAGAAAAAGTATACCATTTACATATACACAAGTAGTTGTGAAACAAGTCCTGTAATTCAACTGTTGTAATTAATGATCAGTCTAAATTGAACTGCTTTTGTTTAAAACGTTTTGATTTTGTTACTGAACCTTCAGTATGTGATGACAGTGTATGTGAAAAAATGAAAACCAGTATTTCACATAGTTAGAATGTGTGATTTTTGAAAGAATACATGTTGGTGTAATCGGTAAAAAACTACTCCTGAAAGTAATCCCTAAGACAGCGTCTGTTTAAAAAACTAGTTATTGGGAAAATAAGTATAAGACAGGCGACGTAGAATGATATGATGACTTAGATTACCTGAGTTAAAAAGGACCGTCTGTTATGTGTTCCATTCATCTTTATACAGGTCCATAGAAATTTACTAAAATGTTAATTAAACTTACTAGTTTAAACATCTTTTGTTAATAACAAATAAAACTTACAAATAACCCTTGAAATAAATGACGTAAAGCTAAATCGAATATTTTTTAGGAAAATTACCTACTTAAATAACTTTTAGATCACCAACTTGAAAATAATAATGCATATCTAAAATTTGTCATAAGACCTGACGAAAACAAGCAAAAATATCTATTTCAATGGCTCAAGTATATTGAATAAAGACTATAGTGAGAAATAGTGCCCAAAGTGTCTAGCTTATTCTATGAAGCGATCAACAGTCTCAAAGAAATAACAAATGCACATGCAATGGTTAACGTAATATTTTTAAACTGAATTTAACTCTACATGTCTTTATACTGATCGCCGTTTGCAATATATGTAGCATGAAAAGTGTGAATTGATGACTGATTTCAGATAACAATAAAAGTGAACTTAATAGGGTGTAACGATTAAATCAGTCAAAATTTATCTGGATGTGAAGTCACATTCTCATGAGAAATGTATTAACTTATCATCCAAACCAGAATTTGCGAAAAAAGATAATTCCCTAACTTACTCTCCAAATTTACCTTGATAACTGAGAAACGACTAAATGTTGAGGAATGCAACTCACATATTACCTACTAGCGCACAGGGTTATTTTCCGGAAAATATTTAAGTCTCTCAACGCTGATGGCTGTCAAAGGATAAGAAGTGTCCAGACAATGGTGAGTCGTTACCACAGGAGGACAGAGACTGTACATTAGAGCCGGGCGGGATGGTATGATTTACGTGATTGAGGTCCTTGAAATATATTTAGTTTTTGGCTTCAGATATCAACTAACTTAAACCGAAAATGATCGCGGCAGCTTAGTTAGATCGAACAATAATATTTTCGTATGTAAGATTCAGTCAGTTTAGCAAAAATTCTTGAAATTGAGTATTGCCTTAATAGTAAGCGTTCCAGAATCATATTAATAAAATTTAAACAGGTACCGGAATTCTTTGCTAAACATACGGCTGCTTTATTCATTTTTTGATTACCGATACCGAGTCTGGAAAAAATATAACTTGATTTAATTTGTCAAACCAGATTAGCATGACGGTATTAAAATAGCAAATAGGGTCGAACTAATGCAGTATCGATAATTAAATAAAAGACCAACCACTGGTAATACGGTTTGAAAAGTCAGAGTTGGAATGTATGCATAAGCGAATATGGAAATTAAAAATTGATAACAACAAACAGCAAATGCATCTTCACCATGATTAACGACCGTCAATTATGTCAACTACAGTTTCCAACTACTGATCACGGTCATTGCACAGATTTTAATCAAATTGTTTGTATTTGTCAAAGTTGCTCACATCAACAGTTATGGTCTTCATGGACTGATGCCACATCTTGGTTGCTTTTGTTTACTATTTCCTATACTAGAAAACACCTCAACAATAGATTGAAAACCCAAGGATTGCTTACTTGGTGGCCTTAAAGTACATGAAAAATGCTTCGGTAAAACCTATGGTTGAATTCTAATGGCCTACAAATATCCTTTGTTCTTAATGACCATGTTTCAAAACCATTAAGCAAAACTGAGCAAACTAATGAGGAGTAAACTCGTCCTTTAGTTGAAAGACAAAAGCAGCAGTCTTTTTATTTAGTGTCAAAATTCTACAGACGTCAACTCGCTTAGGCTGATCAGACCTCCAAAATAAGCGAAGAGGTCGACTCACCAAATTATTTCGCTCTCTGTCCTTAGTTAAATGGTTGGTGAAGACCAGATATGAAGCAAACGTTTACCTGTAAGTGCAAAGGAAAACACCTCAAGCATGACAGTATTGTTGCTCAGAGCGAATCAAAACCTCTGCACTCTTTCAAGCTTCCTTACCAAACAGAACTATATCACCAGCGTATTCTTATTCCATGAGTAAACTTCCGGGTAGGTGAGGAAACTTATGAAAACTGGGCAAGGAAAGCTATCTTTTCAGTAAAATATCAATGAACTGAAAAATTGAATAGCACGCAACTCTAGCAAACGCCGCTTGAGGTTGAAATCTTTGGAAACAGTAGGCCATGAGCTCTGAGCTAACAAATAGCATCAAGGTGGAGATCCTTCATAAAGTCTATTAGCTTCTTTGGTAGGCTTTTCGACCACAAACACTTTCACGAAACTACTTAGTTGATAGATTCAAACTCCTCACAAAAAATATAGTATTCATTTCCCTGTAATCAACCAATTTTTTCATATTTTTACGTAAAATGTGACATTTGCTGTTCTGGTTACTTAAAATGAGTAAACTGCCTAAATCAGACAGTTTATTTATTGCTGCGTCAACTAATAACCTTGCGTAAGTTTTAGATACATTAAGCTGAGTAATAAAGCATTCAGTACTTAAAAGTTACCAGTGCGGAAGTTGTCACGATGGTTTTTATTACAAAGTTTTTAATCACAAAAGACTCAATATGTAAAGATAGCCAAAGCCATCAAATATTCTGATTTACTTGTAGGATATTTCGTGGCTTTATATAAAACAAACACGAGTTCAAATTCAAATAAATATAAGGACATATTTAGGATATAAAAGCTGAAAATAATTTATGTACAACAGACTTAACAATGGTTGTTATAAAAAATATGACCAACTATCTTGCTTGTATATCGTTCTCGGACAAAAATGGCAAAATGGTTGTCCTTAAAGAACTGACAAGAAACTACGGCAGAAATTTCCTAAATTAGAACGTCAGCATACTTTACATCTTACAAGAACAACATTGAGAAACCTGAAGGCTCAAAGCACAAGTAGTGTGTTTTAAATTTGTAACATATGAGTGTTTGCAATAGCGAGTTGTTTAAAAAGACAAAGCAAAATGGTTTGCAAGCAAGCTATCAAACTACTTATAAATCTCCACTCACATCTCAGTTATCTTATACTGCAATTCTTTGTATAAGGAATAAGTATTGTGATATCCTGCCACAAGTCTTATGAACTTAATCGAAATAAAAAATTGGGAAGAAATATTTAAAAAATTGCAAATAAAATTGATATAGCAACCATTTCCATGCATCAAACGTGTGTTAAACATGCTTATGCAGCATTATTACCTCGTCGTCAAGACAGGTGTTTGTAAGATCCAGCTGAGTTATGTTCAAACTGTTTGAAATGCTGGAAAAAATTGGCTTGAGTTTTTTAAGACCTAAAACACTATATTTTAGGCTTAAGCTCTCGTCCTTTAGATGACGAATAAAATATCCTGATGGTAAAGCTCCGCGTAACCTGCAATCATTTAAGTATTCTACTTGGTCCGGGTCAGTATACCACTGATCTATATTTCAGAAAACGTTTACTATATTTGTCTAGCGCCCATACCTTTTGCTGACAAAATCCTTTTGCATCTTTTTATATGTGAATTGCCTGCCAACTTCGATTGTTCTTTGCTTATGAAGCTATCTTTCATTGTGTTGGCGGAATTTTCTCTGTCACCCTGATCCACAACAACGAGAGTATTAGGATTAACAGTATTTTCAACGTTTTGTTCGACAGAATGTTCCTCTTGATTTTGTTCGTCTATCTCCATTACCATATGTTATCAAAGTAAAAAATTTTTTATGACAATACATAAAAGGTACGATAATTCGGCAAATCTGTGACTTGAAACTGAAAGCGAAAACAAATAGCAAAATCAAACGTCTGACATCGGTTGCTATGACAATAATGTTCTAAACAAAATTTTATACGTTTGTTTATTAAAAAACATGTTTAACAATTTTATTTTACTCCCATTCAACATTTTACATTTAAGAATGTATCTTTGGAAGTTTGGCAATCATTCAAAATATTCGGTGCATCATCTAAACATGTTTAGCTTATGGAAGCTATTTGATGAATCGATTTAATGAAAAATAGAAGCAGTACATCAGGGGATGAAATAGAACAAGAACTTTCATGTTGCACAAGTTCGAAGAAGAGCGGTTTTACATATGTCCGAATTAATACCCCTTCGCAGCTAAAAGATGAGTATGAAATTGGTCCAGTCCTGGGTGAAGGTACATTTGGAATTGTTTATCATGCTTTGAGAAAAACTGATGGTATGAAATGTGCAATTAAGAAAGTAAGTACGACTAGGAGCTAAACGTATTGCTTGTCATTATATATATATATATATATATATTAATGAATCTTAAGTCACTATTAATCTTTCTTGCATCAAAACTTAACATTAAATTATATCTGACTTTCGAAGAGTAGATACGTAATGCTGGTTTTTGAGCGTTTCGCGTGACAAGTCATTAATCAGTCCCAAGCTTTCAACTTTGGGGAAATTTAGGGGGTTTTGTGCCATTTCCTTAAAATTTCTCCAGAATTTCCCCTAAATTTTCTCCAAAATAGGTAAAATTTTCTTCGAAATTGGGAGCTCGCGGTTATTTGTAAGGGATAACAGTCAACAATTATCCTGAACTAGATGTAACAGTATGAAGCCCACATGCGGTCATATAAGCTGAAATTTCTTTCATTCGTCATTTTCGCGTGATTACAATCTAGTTTGTTTTATATGCTCGTTTTTTAAGCTGATGATACTTTTATTCATTGGAATATCGCCATTTATATAGACTTTCACAAAACAATCCATATAACCTTGGAATTTTTAGCAAACTATATCTTTTATTCTAATGCGCAGTGTTAATACTCTTTCACATCAATTTATAAATCAACGCCAAAACTTATTTGAAACATATATGAATTAAACAACTATTCCAACATAAAGCGTCTCATCGAAATACGTCATTAAATCAAAGTTACAATACTACTAAATCTATAAACATTAGTTGTTTGATTTTCATTTATTTTTACGTATTGTTTTTCATAAAAATATGTTTTCGTATGTTAAAGCTAGATATGATATGTAAACGCCAACAGTTAATAAAAAGAAACGCTGTAGCATGTAGATCTTTTACTATATGATGTCAAACTAATTTTCTTTGCAGAAAGACATGAGAGTTTTTGGCGGTAATCTTTTAAATACCTATTGAATTTTGTATGAACCTCTTGTTCGTTGCTTGGGCCTGGTCGGTCCTACGTGAATCATGGGTAAAGTTTAAACCTTTTTTCACCTAGCCATTAGGAAAACTCGTTCCAAATGGCTACCGTTTTCCAAATTATCAGCAGTTTAGGTGACTCGTTTGCTTTACACTATTTAAGAGGGTAAGATAATAAAAACTAAAATGAGTTTCAGCTTTTTGCACACAAGTTGAGCCGATTTCTATCAAATGTGAACTGTGCAACCGTCACTGTGACAACACCACAAACTTAGTAAGTTTACCTGGGAAACGACATAAATTTTAGGCTTGACATAAAGCTTACACCACTTAATATAAACTATTATTGAGTTTTATTATAGTGAAACTGACTTTCTGACTACGTGTAGGGAGAAGTCTGTCGAATTTGGACGACTTTCGAAGTTAAAGTGCATCACTCAAACACTGGTGGCTTATGAAGTTACTGCGTATTTATCTTATTTTTCAACTAAGAATGTTTTCATGGTTTTTCACTTGAAGTCTACCTTGGAGAATGAATGTTAGTTAACTAAATAGTTTATGAACTTGTCTGCACAGTATTTTGATTTTATCCAACGCAACGTGCATATGACCAAGTAATATTATGATCTATAATCAGCAACTTGTTTAATTAAATGCGGTTGTCCGTTCCAGTTTGTAGTATACGTTAATGTAAGAGCTAATGTCTTGTCCTCAGCATATGACACTTTTTGTTTATCTTCTTTGTTTTATCTAGACTGATTAAAATAGTTCATGAGATATGCATAATAAGATCCAATAAAGAAGACTTGTTAATTGCTATCTCCTCTTTTAAACATAAAATAAACTACTACTAGCTGAATGAACATATTATCGACTATTTTAACTGAGTTTGTGTTACAATGACGTGGAATGGTCTATTAATGGAGTTTTCTAACGATGGACAACCAATGCAATGTGGAGTTCTGTCAATATTTTTCAAAAGTTTAGACGGCTTAGAAAGATGCACTAAAACTTGACCAAAGACTTTAAATGTAGCAGCAGTGCCGACAGATTTACTCTTGTTCCTCTAGACCTTGAATGTCAACATTCCTTCGTGTACACCTTTCCATTCCGTCTTTTTAAACCCTACTATAAATGCTTAATCTACTTCATTATCGTTCCTAATACGTTTTTTTATTTTCCTTTTGTTTTGTATCTTGTTGACTTTATTTAGTGCTAATGGCTTACGGGAACTTAAGTCAACCTACATTTATGTCAGACTCTATGTTGATAGTGACTAACTCAACTTAATACATCATCAAATACTTTTGTATTGTCAAGCAAATTTACCTTTTTGGTATGCAGTAATATTTATAGTCATGATTACTACTCACGACTTGATTCATTTATTTGTTAACTAAACAAGTAAAACTTGTGACAACGTGCTATTGTGTATGTAGTTTAGACTACAGAATAATCAACACATCACTGATTTATGTGGGAATGTGTATTTATTCAATTAAATATTCCTGTTTAACAGTGATTCGGTACTATATATCTGATTTGCAAGTATAATTAGTTTATTTTCAGCTTAGTGTGAACATGTGTGCTTTTATTTACTAATTATTAACTATGGTGCCAAGTTTACTTAAAGAAAATCTCATAACTTCAGTCATTTGCTTCATTTGTTTGATTATGAAAATGATTGCTTGCTATGACTACGCATATAACTGACCTAATTATTATGAAGTGTTTTTTTCTGTATATGATATCAATGAGAAATTGTTTTGAACAAACTTGTCATATGATAGCCATTTGGAGTTTGTTTGCTTAGTGCGTTCTTACAACTTCAGTCAATCAGTTATGTTTAGCGTGGAACCTGATTTATCTCCATCGGTTCAAGATACTTAGTAAATTTAAAGATTAACTTTCTTAATGAGTAAAAGTATGTCAATTACTCTATGTTATACCTGAATTTTATCACTTAATAAGCAGTTTACTTAATTCGACCCACTTAAACTAAATAAATATTTAAAACTGAAGAGCACGATGGACATCTATCTAATCATAGTATAGAACTTTTCAACAGACCACATCCATTACCTACATTCAAGTTATTCTATGGCATAAATCATCTTTAGGATAAATAATCTCCACTATCCTACCGTTCTAAGTATGCTTGTTTCGGTCTCAGTCAAAATGCAATATCGTCAGGTGAGAGCTTTATTTCCTAAATCCATAACAACCTATTCTATCAAAAACTCGACCTTCAAACTTACATACATAATCTCTTCTTCATTTAATGTAATCCTTCAATTACTGTTTTACTCTTCAACTATTATTATTAAGAACTGAATCCATTTTAGGGAAAATGTCAATGAAAATTGTAGTTTTATAATCACTAAATAAATAAAGCTTTTTAGTCCAATATCCACAAAACTGTTTCAAGTCTCTCACACAGATTAATTTTTGAGTAGTGTATCAACCGAAATTTATCTCTTTTTATTTCTTAATTTCAGACAATTAGAAAAACACAATTATTTAATATGTCACATCATATAAATCAAAACAATATAATCTAAGCAAACAATAGTGTTTCTAATTAAATTACCATTCTTTACTTTCTAATATACAGTGATATTTCTATGCATATGTGAAATACCAAATCAATCAACGCACTTTGTGAGTCTATGAAATAAATATATTACATAACTGGTCATATTAAGTAAAAAATATAAAGTAATAATGAGATGGCAGGTGTGGTAGTCATGATAAGAATAATAAATAATATAAACAAATATTTTGGTAGTGGGATCAGAATTAAACTTGCTAAAATCGACTTTGATAAATTATTTTATATGAAATGTATGAGTGGTTGATCGTTTTAAGTATGTCAGAAGTAAAAACAGTTATGTAAAAGAAGTGAATAGAAGAAAACAAAAAAGGGTAAACAGCATTGATAAAACTGTCCGTCAGTTTTCCTTTGGCCGAACAAAAGACAAATGTATAACAAGCTTCTTTAGAACGAAAAAATCAAGGGTTGTCTGCTCGAATCTCTATAGCTTCTGCTTCTTTATAGACATGAGATTCAATCTCATTGGGAGATATTGAATGCGTTCGATTAGTCACTTTAAGTCATATGTGTCAAGCTAGCAACAGTTGACGTATGACAAATACGTGTAACGTCATTTCTATTACCACTTGTTACCATCAGGTAGTAGCACTTTTGTTTAAGAACAAACCACCACATCCCTTTATAAACAATATCGTTTGTTTGTTAAATTAAAATTGACTTCATATCTTTGACCTAATATCTTCAATTCCTTTTTTATTGTCATTGTAGATTTCACGCATAAGCTCTTTCTCTGCAAGTGAACGTGCTCGTTTAGATCGTGAAATATCTATATTAAGATATGTTAAACATCCTGGAATTATAAAACTCTTGTCTGTTGCTGAATCACCAAAAATTATATTCCTCATTACTGAATTATGTGAAGGCAATTCATTAGATCATTGTATGAAACAATTACCAGAAAATACTGGACTACAAGAATATATTGTAGTAGCTATTGTAAAGCAAATAGCTTCAGCTTTATCTTATTTGCATAATCGAGGTATTGTACATAGAGATTTAAAACCTGGAAATATTATGTTATTAAACAAAGTAGAGTTAGATTTCCGTACTATACCTCCGGTGAACTTTAAGTCAAATTTTAAATATTCATTGGACAGTAGAATAATTTCTTTCGATTCTCTTATTAAACATCAAAAACCTGAGAATGAACACATTGAACTGCATAACGACTCGTGTTCCAATCACAGTGATACACGGTCAGAAATAACAACGACGACAACAATAACGACTGAAACAATATGCTCATCTGTATTTACTCGAAATAAATCAGTGAATTCAAGCACAAAACCATTACCTGTTTGCTCTAGACATGATTCTGCATTTTTAGAATGTAATACAAAAACAAATAATAATTCAAACATCCAACCTAGAATCCAATCATTTCAACTTGATGATAATTATTGTATAAATGTTGAAGATAAATATCCACCTAAAGAATTACAAACAAAATTAATTGATTTCGGCTTAGCCATAGAAGTACGCAAAAATGAAGAAGTATTAGCTAATCCATGTGGTACACTATTGTACATGGCACCGGAAGTTTTGAATGGACGATCATATACACGTCAATGTGATTTGTGGAGTTTAGGTGTCATTATATTTATATTGTTAACAAATCAAACACCATTTAATTCACAAAATGAAAAACAGTTAATCAATGAATTAAATCAATCTAATATACAAAAGATAATAGAAAAACTAGGCAATTATATAACATCATTATGTAAAGAATGTTTAATACGCTTATTAACTGTTGATCCAGCTTATCGTTTAACCGCTAATCAACTTCTAATTGATCCATGGTTATCATTTTATCCAGTGTATAATTCAAATGAAGTAGTGAATAATAATTTGCATGCATCTAAAAAGGAAAAGCAATATGAACAAGTGAATTTATCAACAATACATTCATTTAACAATATATCTGGAAATTCTATCACACTATCTTCTTGTAGTAGTAGCAGTAATAGTAGTATTAGTAATAGTAATAAATGTATTTCTAGACCATCATCATTTTCTCGATTCAAGACAACTGATACATATTCTACAACGAATGTACTTGACTTAATGAAACAATATCATAAAGAATTAAATAACTGTAAACAAGATGTTGAGAAGGTGAATCAATGAGGATGTCTATAATTCACATCATAAATGTCAATTGATCAATAAAATGTAATGATTATTATTATTCGTCTATTTGAATATTTTTTTACAAAATCGATCAAATGTAAATGACTTGTAATGTAAAACTTCCATTTAACTGATTGAGTCTTATTTGTTGTAACTTTTCAATTTACTTTTAGATTTATCAAGAACTAATTTGTATATATGTTTCGTTTCATCATCATGAAGAAAATTTCAATGGTCTCTTTCCCATTTTTTTTTTGTTTAATTATTGATTTATAAATTTCAATGACACAAGAATGACAATTGTAGTAGAATATAAATAATAATTTATTCATTTCAGAACTACTCTTCAGTTGCTTACAGCTTAAATACAATCATATTCATTATATGGAAAAATGTATATGTACAATTATTATGTCAGGTTTACAGAGAAGCATTAACCGAATTCCATAATAATAAAATATAATCAGAAGGGGTTTTGTGGAGATTTTAGAAATTTCACTGGTTGAAATCATGAGTCAATTAAAACTAGACCACCATAGAAAACCTGGACTCATGATTTCAACCAGTGAAATTTCTAAAATTTCCACAAAACTGTGGTGTTTGAATGAACTAATGACTCCTTTGTACTTGTTGAATGTTTGATTTCGAATTCTAAATACAGTACATTCGTTAGTGCTTGTGTATTACTTCTTGATTCAATTGCGTTATCCCTGGGATTCTTAGTTCATACTATAATTCAATTACTTCTAATTACCATAAAAACCCCTTCTGATAATAATCATCTGCTCACTAGTGACAAACTTTAAGAGTCACTCCTGGAATTTTAGTGAAAAGCCGTTACTAGTGGAGTTCGACCAGGTCTGTTGTGAGATATCAACTCACTAAAGACTATGGTGTACGGTGGCGCAACTTCGTGGATTGGTTGAAGTTAGACATTAACATTGTTGGATGCCAGCCAGCTCAGTAGTCTAATGGTTAAGCGCTCGCGCACGAGACTGATAGGTCCTGAGTTCTAATCTCGCGGGGGGGAAGGATCGTGGATGCTCACTGCTGAGGAGTCCCACAATAGGAAGAAACGGCCATCCAGTGCTTCTAGGTTTTTCATGGTGGTCTAGCTTCAATTGACTCATGATTTCAACCAGGAAAATAAAATATAAGTAGGTTAATAAAATGTTAGAAGGGATTTTGTGGATATTACAGTAATTTTAATATTTGAAATCATGAGTCAATTAATAAGAGCAAATAGTTATGAAAATGTCAGCTAGACTCCTTTAGAAAATTTTTAAACATCATATACCTTCTAACTATAATCTATTCATATGTCATCACCTGATTCAGTAAACATAATATGATGTACGCATCCTCATTTTTTTGTAAACAATTAATACTACTGTATTTAAGCTGTGAGCAACTGATGCATATCACTGAAATAAATCAAGTCTTTTTGTTATCCGGTTACTATAGTTGTGTTTTTTTTATTGGAATAGTTTTTTAGAATGTATATAGTTTAATGAGTTAGATAGCGCCGTAAAATCAATTCATTTATTTGCTTTTTTTAATTTATCGTAACCATAATAAAAAAAAGCGATAAATAAATGCGCCTCATTCACTCGTTATTGATTATTGTATTAGTTATAACATAATGAGGCTTTGATTTTGTATTATCATTTATAACATTCTTAAACCTCAGATATTACTACTATTGATACTTGTTAGCCGCTTATATGTTCGTCAATTCATCTGTTTTTTATAAATTGAAAATAATTTTTTTAAGTGATACAGAAAATTTTGTAGGTTAAGTTAATATCTATGGTAAAAGAGTATTGTTTAGGCTTAATGAATTTGATTGTTGTATTTAAAAGCATTGCTAGTGCTTATTTGAGCAATAAGACTAATTTTATTTCAAAAACTTTCAGTTAATAAACATTAAAGTTTTATTGAAAACGTAGTACACTGGACAGCCAATTCGTTCTAACTTAGGACTCCTGGGTTTAATCCCCGTGGCAGGCTCGTATATGCAAACTGCTCAAGAGTTTTAAATTCAGATGAAACAGCTGTTCAATGCTACTTGGTTTCCAATGGTATTTCAATTAAAATCGATCTGTAATGAATACAACCTACAACTTAAACCAATCTCTACGAAATCTTAAATAAAATATGAAAGTAACTAAGAAACATTATTGGTCCACCAGAGTGCTTGGTACCTGTGTGGTTGCGCCACAGGATTGAGCTGCACTATTCAGATTGTAGCGTTAAAGCCTATACGGTGTCTAGTTCTACTGAAAACCAATGTAAAATTACCCTGGCCCACAAGGGTATATTATATAACTGTGAGTGTAGCGCATATATATTTGATGCCCTTTTGTACCAATATTTATGTGTTCAAATAAAATAAAACAACCAATATTGATCTTTGCTTCAAGTTGATGATTATCAATGTTGAATCGATGTGTACAGGAATAATAGATTAAATATACAATATTTATAATATAGAATTATAACCATTGTAGTATACCACGTAAGTTTCCCTTATTCACTGTTTAATCACCCAAGTGAATAAAGAATAATAAGATTTTTTATTCATAAAAAAACACTATGAAGTTATCATTGAATTACTTGATTAATTTATTTGTAAATATAATTTATTTATTTATTATAATAAGTTTTTTCCTCAAACTATTACTTCCTTATCGGTAATTTCTATTACGTCATTTAAAAAAAATAGAACGAAAGCATTCAATTACACATTTCTTCTTTAGGTCATCAAAATATGAAGAGTTATATATAACTAATTAAAACTATAAACGAAATATATAAGTAGAGTCAATAGTTTATATCTCATAGAATAACACCTGTTATTTGCAATATTTCAAAAGTATATCTACAACAATATTCACCATCTAGCCTACTAATTTCCTTTAGTAGTCTATGTAGCAAAGTAAAATATTGTCTCTAAAGTTCAAGTAAAAAGAATAGAGAACAAGTGCTTCCGATAACTTCATTATTAGGTTCTACATTTATAAGCCCATAATTATTGTGATATTTTACAAAGGACATAAATAAGGCATGTATTAATGAATTTGACAATGTTATGTGTTAAAAATGGTGAAACGTTTGCATCTGTTACGATATATATACACTTCGAAATTGTATTAATTGCAAGTTAGAAAGGTCATTCAATAAAAGTCAGAATGATTTAGAGCAAAGTGTCCAGTCACAATAAGTGGAATAGTATTATAGCAAAATTAAAAATGCAAAAATTAAATTGTGTGAATAAAATGCATAGTAGGAGAATTTCATCTTGTCATTTGTGATAATAATAATAATAAGATTGTTGTGTGAATATAATATGTAATAAGGAGGGGGTGTTATCAAGGTAATTACGATAAACGAATTGAGAATGACGGGTGTAAAGATTAAGATAGAGGTAATCAAAAAATAATAATAACAAGGAAAAAAATAATAAAGAAAGGGGGTAAGAAGTTTATAATATTCAGCTTAGGTATTCAGTGATCCAGTCGTGGGCCAAGGTAAACATAGAGGCTGGATATATTTTTTCTGGATACATAAATTAGGTCTTCTAGAGTTGATCCAGATGGCTTCGGCTGTGTAAAGCATTCGCAATCTTGCTCCTTGAGGTATATATTTTGGAAGTTGATATAAAACAGAGAAAGCTCCCTCTGTTTTTATATGATGTTCACTATCTACCAAGTGAGAAAGAATAGTGCTCTTAATCGATTTGGAAAGTTCTTTTACCAATATTATTATTATCTCAATTGACAAGATGAAATTCTCCTACTATGCATTTTATTCACACAATGTTTTTGCATTTTCATTTTTGCTATAATACTATTCTACCTATTGTGACTGGACACTTTAAATCATTCTGACTTATATTGAATGACTTTCCTAATTTGCAAATAATACAATTTTGAATATATATATATATATATATATATATATATATATATATATATATATATATATCGTAACAGATGCAAACGTTTCACCATTTTTAACAGAACCTCCAATAGTAATAGCTCTATAGCTTATTAAAATAAATAGCGGAAATTTAGAATTACACCACCATAACATAAGATAAAGACTAACTTTTTTCATTTAACAAACTCATTATAAAAAATAAAACAATTACATGGTGGATATATGAGGAATGTTTTGACTTTACTCACAGATGGGTGTTCTGTTCTACATTATAGAAGTTTCCATTTGACCTCAGCTGATCATCACCATAAATGTGTTTAATCTATTATTATTATTATTATCTGATTGCTCGATCTACAGATTAGTTAGGTCAAACATTCAAGTACAGAGAATGACTATCCTTAATCCTAAAGTCATTTCAATGAATACTGAGATGAATTAGCTGGAAATAACTAGTGCTTGCATACATCGGCCGCCTGCTTAAATATCTGGGCTACCTAATCCTCCCATCTAGATATTTCGTCAAGTTATCTGTTTTCTTGTTTGTTTTAACACACTATTATGTCTATTGAGCTCACAACCTATTCAGGCGCGTTTATGAAATGTCTACAACCTTTCGCTGTACGGATTACAAAAATATACAACCAGCGACATCATGGTGGCTTGCAATATGCATTGAAACGAATGAACATTATTCAGATGTCGATTATCGAACTCCTAACATCTAACTGGCCATCACTCAATATTTATCGTCAGGATCGATGAGATATAAGAAAAGGAAACTTGTTGAAATACTTTATGCTGAGAATTCAATAGTGTACCACAAATATAATGTTGAATAAAGCTTATAATAATATAATAATAATACAGTTAATAACTATGATCTAGCCTTTTAAGCTTTAAAGATAGTTTTCATCCTCATCCACTTATTTTTAATTGTACTTTGAATAAATACACAACATCTTCGAAATTTGAATAGCACACTTAAATAATAAATTTAGTATCAAGTATAATTCACTCATTGTGTAATTATATCTATCATTTATAAGTGTAAATATTTACTGAATTCAACTAAAACTATGTCACCTCAAGAAATCGAATTTTCTGACAACTTTTATCAAAATTCTTTACAGATTTAATAGAATCTGGCACAAATTGGTAACAATCCAAGTTGCAATACTTCAAATGAGTATAGCTAAAATAAAGTTAAAACCGAAGAATTTTAATGAATTATACCAATGCTTATGAAAACTATACAATGATTGTACATTAGCTAGTATTTACACATTTATGTTGCTTATACACGGAACTGAAATTCATCAGTCTCCATTTGGTTAGCTGAATCCTGAAGGGATGTCACGATATTGCTTCTCAATTATAATTATAATCTGTTCGAGCTTAAATAAATTCACATCTTCATCAATTACCTTACTATTTCAACAGATTTTCCTATTCTAAAAACTTAAGTATAACGCATATCACGATTCCGTAAAACAATAGTAATGGTTCTTAAGTTATTTACTTACACCTGTTGCTCCTCGTGGAGGAGCATGGGCCGCTCACCAGCATTCTCTATCCAACCCTGTCCTGGGCAGTCCTTTCCAGCTCTTTCCAGTTGTTATTCATCCTTTTCATATCGCTTCTATTTCCCGACGTAATGTGTTCTCTGGCCTTCCTCTCTTCCGCTTCCGTTCAGGATT